TCAACAGTCGTCGGAACCGGCAGCGACGCCCTCGGCCTCAGCTACCAAGGAGCCCGTCGCAGAACCAGCTTCTTCAGTTGAAGCCCAGCCCGCTCCCACAACCACCAGCGCCGACAAGAAGTCGCCAGACTATGGCACCGATACCGATGACTGTAGCCACTGGGCCTCGAAGTGCCCCTGGGGACAGACTGTGACCGTCACCGAGAAGCAGGTTTCGACTGTCACCGAGAAGCAGGTCTCGACTGTTACGGAAAAGCAGATCTCGACCTTGACTGTTGAGAAGCCGGTTGTTTCCACGTGAGCTGCCTTCTCCCAAGGACTCCTAGGAAGGATATCTCTAGATTCTGGCTGACCTCAATTAGCCTCACGATCGTCTCCAAAGAGACTGTGTACACCACGCAAGCCTTCACTACGACAGATTACGAGACCAAGACAATTGTGAAGGTTTCTTCCTACCCTGTGACTACCACGGTGGCTCTGTAAGTATAGGAAGCTCCCGCGTACATCCCAAACATTCTCAACCCACCAAGCCATACCCGGCTCCTTATCCTCTTCTATCTCCTCTACAACGATTTCAACGTCCCGCCTTCTCTATCCGACAAAGGCGCCTTGTTGAAGAGAGACGAGGAGAGGGCGCCGAGACAGAATGTAGACAACATACGGATCGTGGGTCCGTGGCTTGCGATTCTGCATTTCCGAGCCCGCTATTGATTTCATCCCCCGTCTATTACACAATGCGGTAGAGCCTGGGATTACATGAGCTAACTCGCCTCAGTTGCGATCCTGTAGATGCTCCTGGTCCAACCACCTCCCCCGTCCCAACTTATGGAGGTGGCTATGGCAGGAAGCGAACTCCTCAGCAAGTCTGCCGGACGACCACAACCACAATTTGGAAGACGAGCACGACAAAGGTCACGGAAGTCGTCCCAGTTCCCACCACCATTGTGCAGACGCAGAAGCAGACAATTCAACTTCCCCCGTCCATCTCCATTGAGACGCAGAAGGAGACGATTCGTCTTCCTCCCTCCATCGAGACGCAACAGGTCACGCAGACGCGAGAAGTCACTGCTACTCGGATTCATACTTCCGTCTCGACTTTGGTCTCTACCGTTGTATCGACCGAGATCATTCCAACGACGGTGATCTCAAGCAAGACTCAATACGTGACCACGACTTACACAACATTGAAGACCTACTATATCACGGACACTATTACAGAGACTCAGAAACAGCCACCAACAACGATCTTCGAGACCAAAGAGCGAACGGCAACAATCACTCAGCCTGTGACTCGGACGGCTACTCAGATTTCAACGACCACAATCATCTCGACCCTTGTGTATACGACAAGCATCCCATACACTATTACCTCTGATCACACAATCACCAAGACTTCCTACTCTGTGTCCACCTTCACTAGTCTCGTCACCTACACTTCACCAGTGACCATAACTGCGTCTTACACGGAATTCCAAACAGCAACGGCAACGGCCACAAGAACGGCAACTGTTACGAACAAACAGACAGAATATTTGACTTCTCTGACAACGGTCTTCGTCTCAACGACTCTCTTCGAAACTCTCACTCTTTCGACGAGTTATCCAGTGACTATTCCCATAACCGTCACCAACGATAGGACGATTCGAGAAACGTTTTACTCGACTGTCGTGGAGACTTCTGTGAGAACGATAGTTTCTTCCTATCCAATCACTCGAACAGTCACGCAAACCTCACCTCCGCAGACCGTCACTCAGCCTGCTTCAACAGTGACTCTTCCACCAGTTACGACTACGACGACTATTTCCGGGGAGGCCGTCACGATCACCTTGCCTGCTTCAACTATCACCATTCCTGTGACCGCCACTATCACGGGGCCCGGAGAGACGATTACGCGTCCTGGTGAGACGATCACTCGGCCTGCTTCAACCGTCACCCTTCCGCCAGTCACAACTACGACAACGATCTCTGGGGAGGCCTTTACGATCATCTTGCCTGCTTCAACCATCACAATTCCCGTGACCGCCACTATCACGGGGCCCGGAGAGACGGTAACGCGTCCCGCTGAGACGATTACGCTACCGCCCGAAACGGTGGTCACTACGATTGCCGGTGAAGTCACGACTCTCACCCTGCCAGCATCTACCATTACTCTGCCAGCAGTCACAGATGTCATCACCGTCACACCTCCTCCTGCAACCATCACTCTTCCCGGGTCGACTGTGGTTTCGACAATTGCAGGCGAGCTAACGACAATCACCTTACCCGGATCCACATTGACTCTGGTCACCACTCAAGTAAACACGGTCACTCTGCCTCCCTCTGTGACGACTTTGCCTGGTTCAACAGTTGTGACTACGGTCGTCGAGACTGCGCCTGCATCGACATTGACCATCACTCGCGACGGTGCGACAATAACCAGCATCGTGCCAGGGCCAACATCTTTCGTCGTTTCGACCTTAACGTTGCCCCCGGTCACTGTTACCTTGCCACCTTCAACGGTCACAGAGATCACGGCTTGCCCAGCCCCAACGAACACTCCTGGATTGAACTCTGCGGCCGAATACAACCCGAAGTCCAACCTGACATGGGGCTGTCAACCCGGATATGTCTGCAACCCTCCCAAGCCGGCCGGCTGCAACCTGTGGGCAGACCCACCAGCAGATAATTATATCTGTGCCCCGCAGAACTGTATTCCAGCACCGCCTGTCACTCTAGCAAATTGGAAGGAGAACGAGACAAGCTACTACCCAGTGAATGAGGGATACTTCAACCTGAATCCCAATGCCTTTGGTCTTCCCTTTGACATCTTCGAGTACGAAGTCATTGTGACCAAGGTGAAGGGTAAGAAGGGTCACAAGAAGACGACCATCACGACTGGCAACTGGGCTTCAGCCACAGGGTTGACTCATTTCCCTCCGACCGCCCAACCCACGATCACGTCTTCTCCTGCCCCTACATCCTCTGCTGAAATTGGCAAACACGCCTACAAGCATAAGCAGGAGGGCAAGACCTACGAGCGCCGTGCTTTCTTCGGCAAGCGTGATGTCACAATCGCTCCTGCCATCTGCTTCGACAATTGCAATAATGTTTATATCGAGGTTCAGACCGTAGGCAAAAACCCCCAGATTTGCTTGGCGGGCTCCGCCTTCCAGATGAACCTCGAGACTTGCAGACAATGCGTGATAGACAACGCCGAAGACGGGAAGGAGACCCTGCGTCTTTACATCGAACCACAGTTCCAGCAGTGGCTAGTATACTGCACCGGCGAGGCACCGCAGACTTCGTCTTCCGCGACTATCCTGCCACCCCAGAGTCAAGCAAGCGGCACGCCTACACTCACGACGGCAAGCCAGGGCGCCGGTGCCAGTGATACTTCGGCCGTCCCTATTCCGGGGTCAACCACAACCACCACTGCTGAGGTGTCTACCACTGTTACATCCACTCCGACTCCCACGCCGTCTCCTAGCACGAGCTTGGCAGCGTCTTCTACACCCTCGACCGTCAGCACAGCAGAAAGCTCTCAGTCGGCATCCAGCTCTAGCCCTTCGGTCTCTCCCACGCCATCTGACACGACCTCCGCGGCCACGATTAGCTCCGGAATCACTGCCGTGACTTCCAGCCTTTCAACAGCGACGTCTGCTGTCATTTCGACAGGCTCGACTTCTGCTGGAACTTCTACTCCAACCGGAAGCGTCTCCTCGGGATCTCCAGGCGCTTCGAGTGCCTCAGGTACTTCAATTGCTTCGAGTTCCGCGAGCGGGTCAAGCGCTGCAAGTGAATCGAGTGCTCCAGCAAGCGCGTCAACACCCTCCACGGCAACTTCATCTTCGGCATCATCAGCGCCATCCGGAACAGCGACAAGCGGTGCCGGCTCGATTCCGTCGGCTTCAAGCCCTTCAGAACTCGCGTCTGCCGGTCCAACCACCTCAGCCGGATCAGCATCCACAGCAACTGGCGGGGCTGGAGGCTCTACATCCGAAACCTCAGCGCCATCCTCGACTGTGTCTTCTCCAAGCACCACGACGACAGGCCCCGTCACAGCCGCAGCAGTCAGGCCCGCCACCTCGACCATCCTCGCCATACTGGCGCCGCTCATGGTTCTTCTACTCCTCTAATTCATATTCGATCCTTCTGAACATTATATAAGATTCTTCTTCGTGGGTTTATACAATTGGCGGTAAAAGTTCATCATCCTATTCTACACATTCCTTCCCAAGGTCCTGGACCAACATCATATTTGGCGTCTTATGAGAAAGAGACTCATGATTTGGCTTCTTTACAACGAATTCACGACACTCCTTAAGACTAATGAGTAATTGGCATCATTTGGCGGGCATTACTTTTGGGGCAATTTTGCATATTTAATGGGGGATATGTTTTGTTTTTTTGTGGTTATGATACCCTTACGCTCCTTAACGACGCGGCTTTGAAGGCTATGAGCCATCACATAGGTACGATGAGGAGATCGACATGGCTCGATGCGACTTGGGGGATGATGTGTATGGCGATTGCAAGTGTTAGAACTTTGATTTGGGAGGAAAAGTAATGAGCCGGGGGACTGGATGAGGCAAGGCGGCCTCCTCAATACCCGGATTGTGTTTGAGATATCCAATGCAATAATTTGTGCTTTTCTATTCCACGCGCTTTGAAGCTCATTATGATGGGTCCTCTTATATTTGAATCACGGGTGAAAAGACCATGCGCTCCAACGTTGGAAACTGTTGGTAGTGTCCATGTCTTGCTTGGCACGGCTATTGTGGTGCCTTACGATGCGACCAACAGTACTCGTTGCCTAACTTCCATGCATCTGCTGTCGCCTTCGACGTCGGTCACATCATTTCAACCACCGTTCTTACATACTACAAAGCTACATGTATAACTCGTTATTAAGCCAGAACCCATTCCATCTACATATACACGTATCGAGACGTATAAGTGGCCGTTGCCCCAGACTTGAGTAACCGGGCCCTCAACGATCGAATCAGTACCACAAACTCCAGATGACTCCGAAACAAAATATCATGAAAGTACTGTCCACAACTTCCCTCCTCTTCGTCCTCATGTTCCTTTCCAAAGCCTCGCGTCAGCCTGGGAGCTCACATCTTTCCAGGTCCCACTCATCATCTCCTCGTGGCTAGGCAGCAGCAATGCGACCCCGCGCGTCCCTCAATTCCTCCTCGACACAGGTCATCCGTGGCTCACCACCCACGCCCGCGAGCTCTCCAGTCTTCCGGACGCGACATCGTTTATCTGCACGCTCTCTTCTGACGATGCTCACTCTCAATATGGCGGCAAAGTTGCCATTAAAGACGAGAGCGCGAAGTTGCGCGAGCGCCTCGAGGTACCGGCGAATCTGTTTCACCGGCTCGAAATCAGAAATGTCCGCGCCGGCGTGAGCCGCTACGGCTGGAAGAATGCTCGCGACAGACTCAATGAGATAAAAACGTGCCCGAGAGCACTCGCTGAAGCCCGTGAGTTGACGGTTGATGTATATGTCCATACCGGAATGGGGTGGCAGACCTTGGGTGATACCTGGGACACCCTCACCGCAGAATCGAGGCTTCCCCCAAAGTCCCTGCCGGCTCTCTTTTCCGAGGTCATGGGTAAGATGAAGAATTTGAGCAAGGTCGAATGGATGGTTCGGGCTGCCGAGGAGAATGCGGCCATCGGCAAGGCCTTTATCGAAGACGGTACGCGTTGCCTGGTGTGAAGCACCTTGTCTCGACCATGAATGCGCCGTGGATTGTCGACGCTTGTCCTTCACTGACCTCTCTCGAAGCTAAACGGGATGGTTTTGTCTGGGGAGAAGCTGCGCACACGAGGAACGTGGCCTGGTTCGCTGCCGCGGGGAGACTCAAAGGCCTGAGGAAGCTTGATATGGGAGAAGTCGAGTGGACGGGCACAATGACTGATTGTGAGTATTTGGAGCAGGAAACTTCTATGTCGATGCTGTTTTTATCTAATCCTCAAACTCATAGGCGTACTTCGAGATACCCCTCACATTGAAGAGCTCCATATAGGTGCGCCAGCCCGGGACTTCAAACATAGAGACATCACCCGGGGGAACTTTCTGCGGGTAAACCTCCCTTCATCTTTCCCCCATTCTTTATCCCTCAAAGGTCGATTCTCCCACGTGCTGCTGACCAAATGACATGTTGCGTAACCAGGATCTTATAAAATCCCTCTCTCTTCTTCCCAGCCTCACGCAGCTTCACCTTCCGCCGTCCTATGAACTGCAACTCGGCTATGACGGGGGATCGATGTGTGGAAACGCATACATGGGCGCAAACGGTGCTGTATATTGGCGCAGTAACATGGCTCAAGGCCTTGAGGTAACGGAGTTGGCTGGGAAGATTGTTCGGTAAGAGTTCCCGGGGTTGAATGGGGTCCATATCGGTGCATCCTACGGGAACTTCGCGACTGATAATGAGGGAGAGCAAGTCATTATCTGGGATTGAACTGGGAGGGTTGACGAGTGGTTGGATGAGAAGCAGATGGCTGTTAATTTCACCGAGGAACCTTAAGCTAGGCTATGCAGTGGCAATTTGATCCCATCCGACAAATCTTGCGCAAGGCGGTTCATACAGCTGTTCCTCTTCTTTTGATACCGTATCTGACATGTTGAAATCCACCGCACCGTCGCTTCTTGTCCAAGATGAGCTTTCGTCTTCTTCGCCAATGTCCATCTTGCTCGAATTGTCTGGTATAGGGTGTACTAAGCCATCCCATGGGAAAGCATCTTTGAGCATCGTCAGGAACTTGCCTGCTCCATCTATCGAGGATAAAAGTATATTTTCACGATTGTTGATGGCGGCTTCGTACCAAAGCATGGTGAGGAAATGATCCGACCGGGCGAGTATCCCTAATTTCCAGTGGTATATCTTGCGTAGACTTGGGGCCCGGTCACTTAGATTAGCAACCATGGAAGCCAGATCGTCCTTCCACTGAGATTCGAGCCGTCCGTTGAATGTATTCGGCTGATACTGATGGCAGAGTTCTCGCAAGTTGGCTTTGGTAGGAGGAGACCTTGGAAGTTTGAAATGCTGTCGCTGCAGATGTGACGCTGCCTCTTCGAATGTGCGATAAGTTGTGGCGCTCCGACATTCTATACAGGAGGACTCCTGCTCTTCGTTGTCAAGTCTGCCCCATTCTGCCGGGTGAATTGCAGCGGCTTTGACGAACCATCTTTGGGAAAGCTGTGGGATAGGACATAAGCCCTCTCCCGTCCACCCAGTACCCAATTTGATTATGTGTTCTGGTAGAGGGGCCCAGGTTCGGGGGAATGGCCGATTGTAATCGACGTTGAGCTTCTCTTGTAATACCGCTGCCTTATAAAACACCTGAATGAGCTGCTGTGGCGGGTCTCGCACCCAAAAGATACGATGAGAAATTCTCTCCATAGCTTCATACATGTCCCTGAAAGTATTTTTGCGCGATCCCAGATGCTCTTCAAAGTACTCGGTTTCTGAAAGGAGGTGAGACATCTTCTCCTCAACGTAGATCGGAGTCGGTTGCGAATTCGGAGCTTGTTGCAAGCCAGAAAGATCTTCAAAGCGCTTATATCGTGACTTTCTGGTGTCTACACGAAAGAGCTTCATGGACTTATCGTTGTAATGTAGTGATGGATGCTGGGCGGAATGGCATTCGCATAAATGAATTTTGAAATCCGACAAGGAGTGGTAGAACCTTCCCTGATCGCAGGCAGCTGGTGCATGAACATTTAGGAGGTGCCTTGCTTGCTCTTGTGATTCGTTTATGTCGAAGCGTTGTACACAAAATATGCAATAGACCGCATTCTCTCTGTTGCCGGAAACAAAGTAGTCGTCTATTCCAATGGCCGAGCCGCAGGACCATAATGTCTTTATTGGCCTATGTGTCACGGGACTGCGCAAGTCTGGAAGATCGCCGTCGTAACTACCATCCGTTTGAGAAGAGTTACTCAATCTTCTCAGTGAACCCGTCTGAGAATGCGGTTGACTAAGCTGCTCAATGGAGCTGCTGATCGAGCTTGCCAGGCCATATATGCTGTCGCTTATGGCCGTCAGTGACTGCCGCGTCTCTGAACGATGAGCTTCGATTTGTTTCTCAAGCTGCCTTATTCGATCACTCGCAGCAGTTGAAAAGGAGTTCATCATTTTTTGGCTCTGAACGGCCGATTTCTCGAATGATTCGTCATTCGTGGCATTTGTTTGTAAGTTGAGCTCCGTCAGCTGATGTAGTCCTTCTTGGACAGCGCCGATCCTCGCCAGCCCCGCCATAGAAAAGGCGCTATGAAACAGGCGGTTAGCTGATGAAGCCTGGTTGACTGAGAGACTTACGCATTTAAGACACTGATGTCGCAAATCAATTCGGAGCGATGGGCCGTCAACTTGGTTTCCATATCCGAGATGCCCCGAAGACGCTTGTTTTGAATTATGTCGAGGAACTTCCGCCGCTTCGACGTTGACCTCTTGACGCTCTTGTACGACTTGGATCATTCGTCAAGGTCCTTTCCGCAGCGAACGAGGTGAGATCGAAGCGTAGCAATGTTCGACTCCCAAGATGTCTCGACAATCGAGGCAAGGTTTCTTTCATACGTCTGAAGCAGAGTCTTGACATCTTCTAGGGTTTCAGAAAGAAGCCCGACCTTTGCATTCAATGACTCGGTTCGAATGTCCATTTCCTTTGCAGCCAGGACGAAATCATTGAGCTTGATGGGACCACTCACGACGTGGCCGGCGACGGAGAGGAGCCCAGCGATGCTGGCCGCCGCTGAGACTGCCTCCATGTTGCCCTTGGGTGTTTTGAGAACGCATCTCGAAATCAATGCGCATGAAGGGGGGCAGCTATTATGTAGCACCTGGAGGTCTAGACGGTTGCTTGCACCTGCCATCCGCTATGCATGCACGATCACGCAGCACAGCCAAAGAAGGACGGTAAGAGGGACTTAATGGGGCTTGACTGCTGCACCTGGAGGAGGTTGACAGCCAAATGAAGGGGCCCGTCAACGTTCTCACCATGGCGAACCAGCCAGCTTCAATTCGCCACTTCTCGTCACAGCCTCAGGAGGGCCTATTTCTTTTCTTTTGTTGAATGGATCAGGATTCACTGCAAAGGTGCCAGCAACAACAGAGGCAGTCAGCCACGCAACAAGAATCGGAGGGAAGTGTGTGCTGCGAGCAAATCGAACTGGGCTGTGGCCATAATTTCTTTTTTTCCTCCTTTTCTTTTTTCTTGTTTGGAGGGCGGGGGAGGTGGAAGGGGGAGGTGGAGGGGGCTTACCGAGAGGCCAAGCTGCTGTGATCATCACAAATGAGTGAGGAATGAATGAGTGATCGGGATTCTCTCAGCTGCCAACAAGGCTCCTCAACTACCCTACCGGAGGCTCTTGAAAAGCCGTCTGTCGTATGAAGCAGTGTTGATGCCGAGATCGTCCCAAAATTGTTCTCCCTCGAAGACCGCATCATCACGGTGGCTGTATACTGCCCCGTCGGACTGAACTGTACAGGAACGGTCGTCCAAAGCTTTCTCATGCTTTTCGAAAACTCCAAGTAAATCTTGGGTCCACGAACTGCCCCATAGTTGAGAACTCGCGTCTCTCGCGTGCCCTGCCGTGACATTTGAGGAGGTCGACGATATATCGACGAAGGTGCTGCATCTCAACACGATCAGGAGATGTTCTGACTTGTGTAGAACATCCAACATCCAACGATCGATTCTATCCCTTGTCGACTTTCCGTTCCTCAGGTGTTTCAACAGGCTTGTTATCTTTAACCCAGAGGTGAGCACCACCCATTCGGTAGAGTTGGTAGGACACTTCCGCTCGAACTCAAGGCGACAGTGCTGATCAGAATGATATAGATCACGATGTTGAAATGCTTGCTCCGAAGTCGAGTATCTCGTTCCGTTCTGGCATTCTAAACATGATCTGTATGATTTGGCCGAGGCTATCATTCTGGAATCAAAGGAAAGAAACCAGCTGCCGAGGGGCGAGGGATATCCGAGGTCTGTGGAGGTCGTCCTGCGGTCATTACTTCCTTGGCTGGGGGAAACCTTTTCTAGTAAGACACTGGGTATCGATGTCCATCTATTTCCAGATGTTCTATCAAAGCTGACAGATAGTTCTTCTACTAAATTGGCGGCCTGATATAAAATAGCGGCAGACTCGAGGGTGGATTTTGACGAGAAAACCACGTCTGACAGCATCTCCAAGCTTCTCCGCAAGTCATTGAGGGTGTTTAGTCCGTTTGAAGATGGTGATTTGCTGGCACCAAAGAGGCCAGACATTAGAGACCTCAGTTGACTCTCTAAAATCAGAGATGCCGTGGAACTCTCCAGGTGTTGTTGCATACCATAGAGTGATTCAATTCTCTCATCTTTAACTTCCGATTGATGGCGATAAAAGATTCCCTTCATCCCTGGAATGTTCGCGGAGACGGCATCCGTATTGGCCGTATGGTAGCCTCTCAGATGACTCTCAAAGCCATCTCTGTACCGATAACGTGCACCTTGATCGCATGTGGCAAAGTTGTGGATATTAACCATGTGTTTTGATCGTGCGAGCGACTCAGAATTCCCAAACATTTGGTTACAAAACGCACATCGCATCTGGCCAAGTCGTTGGTCTTCCTGGCTTTCGATGAAGTAATCGTCGATGCCTATCGCCCCAGCGCATGTCCATCCCACTTCACTGAAAGCCACGTTGGTTGTCGACTTTGCTTTTTTAAGAGTCATTTCGAAAGGCTTGATGTCCTCCGTCGTAGAACTCGTTTCCGATCCACGCCTTCTGACTTGCGGTTTTGGCAAACGAGCGAGGTTCCGAAGAGATTCAGCGATACTAGACATGTTGTCACTCATTTCTGGGAGTTGACTTCGAGTCTCGTGGTGCTCTGAGATGAGTTGTTCATGGTAGCTGTACAATGTAGTTCGATTCGTGTCTTCGAAGTGCAGTCGTTCCCTGGTCGACTCTTGAATGGCTTTCGAATGATCCACGCCTTGTTCTTGAATCCGTAGAATTCCATCAGCTAGTTTCTCTACGGCCTCGCCAACTCCAGTAATTCTGTCTAATCCACCAAGGGATAGCCCACTGAATGAAGGCAATTAGTTGACATGAATTGATGATCAGCTAGATCAAACTTACATATTAATAGCACCCATGTCAAGACCAACCTGCGATCGATGGTGTGACAACTTAGTCTCTAGTTCTAACATCTCCCGGCTTCTCTTGTTTTGTATACCATCAATGATCATGCGGCGCTTCGAAGGTTTTTCATCTTCGGATCGTTGAGATACCGTCCACGCATTCAGATACTGAAGGCATTCTTCTAGATGTGAACGAGATCTATCGCAGTGAGGCACCAAGAAGGATTGATTGTTGGCCACAACCTTTTCATCCAAGGTGTTGAGTAGCGAGTTGAAGTCAATGAGTATCGTGGAGAAGACGACCGCTTCCTTCGTCAAGCGTTGAGCGCGGGCACCTGCTTCCTTCACATCCTGGATGAAAGCGTTGAGCTTGACAAGTCCGGTGAGAACATGTCCCGCAACGGACAGCAAGCCAGCGATGCTAGCAGCTGCAGATACTGCTTCCATTTTGCGATGCTCGATGGACCCAGAGGAAAGTCTGGAGAGTGGGCGATGGCCAGACTATGAAGAATGGCAGCGGTCAGCCTGATGGTCACCACTGACATATCCTAAGTATGCACGTGGTGACTGCAGTGCATCTCCTGCGCTACAGTGCTGGTCATTCCCATTGGACAGCACTTGCTTCTTTCCATATAATATGGGGGGCTCGATAAAGCCACATCTCGCGCTGGTCCTTGGCTATGGACTCAGCCTCCAGCCGTCGCCTCTCACATGCAGGTTGCCTCACCAATGGCGAACGACTTTGGCAACCCAACAAGGTCTTCTTCGATTGCAAGTTTAGCTCATGTTGGCCCTCAGCATTACTTCGACAAGAAATCGGACATCACCCACGCGCGATGCATCATGCCATCGATCTACCCCGTCTACTGCGCCAAAGATGGCCTCAAGATATCCGTCTCCAATCTTGCTTCAATTATGCTGTATTCCAAAACTAATTTATTCTTAGGCGGATACGAAGGAAATGGATCAAGATACAATCTGTTATGGCATATCATCAGATGAAGTAAAGCGGCCGTCTAATAGTTGATGGGATGTCCACGGCTAGATCACAGGCATTGGAAAAGGCAAGGTTCGGGCTTGGAACCAAACGGCATCTAACCATTGGCTGAAGCTTCTAGCACGGCTTTCAAGGAGGAGCCCGGCAAGTCGACCTAGATGACTTCTTCAGAATTTCATTGTTGGTCAAACTTCATCGTTGAAGTATTGTTCCTCGGGGAACATTCAAATAAGTGACCTCGGTCCGAATGCATCAATGAACTCAATGCATCTAATTCTTGTGATTCGTGAGAAGGAACATCTGAGAGCTGAGTACAAAGATGAGGTCGAGTCCTTTATCAGTACAAAGAATTTGCAAAGATGGCCATGCGTCCGTGAAAACAAGAAGAGACTACGAAAATTAAACTGGCAAGGGAGAATAATTACGGGTGATCTCTTTGTAGTCGATAAGAGAGGGATGGAAAGTGATGCTGAATCGCGGATGACAGCAGACGAGAAATAAATGCAAATGCATATCCTTTTGAATGAAACACAAACGATGCGACTCTTGACAGAAGCTCTTGTAATCCGTTTGAATACAAGTCTCTGGAAGACGCACCTCATCGCAAGTTCCTACAGCACTTCTTCAGACTTCACGAAGTAACTTACACCAAGTGAAGTCGCCTTAGACCAAAGTTGCTCAAGACTTCTTGAGAACACTTTCTTAACCAAATATAATGCCACCAAGGTCAAACAATGGCTCCTCAAGCCGACAGCCGCCGGAGCAGCAACAGCAGCAGCCACACGGCCACGATTTCGGGCCCGGATGGGACTATCCCATCCCACGGATCCCGGCTCTGCCAAACAACGGCTTCAACGGTCCTGCCCAGGCGGGACCGTCGAACGCGATGCGTCCCCAGATGGGTCAACAGCAAGCTCAGCTACCGGCGTCGAACGTGATGCCGAACCAGAACTTCAACCCGCCACCAGCGCAGTACATCGATCCCAACAGCCAGCAGTTCAACAACCAGCAGAACGATAATCAGCAGAACAACAACCAACAACTCCGCTGGGCCAAACCATACCAACCCCAGGGCCAGCCTCAGCCCCGTCCCGCGGTCCCATCCCAACCAGCAAAGCGCGGACGGCCCCGCAAACACCTCGACGAGGAAGGCCAAGACGAAGGACAAAGAGCACCAAAAAGACCCAAACTCCAGCAAACCCCCTGGCAACCGCCCCTCATGCGCATCACGCACTCCCCCCAGGTCGGCCAGCACAACCCCATCGACAATACGTGCGACCACTGCCGCGCCCGCCCCCACGAGAACCAGGGCTGCAACGTCGACCTCGCCAACCAGATTGAGTGCCACCGCTGCACCCGCTACCGCGCCCTCGTCGACCCGAACCACATCTGCAAAGTCCTCGGCCGGGAACACTGGCAGAAGCGCTTCGCCAATTCCCGGCCGTCGTACCCGATCACCGAGACGAGCTCGAGCGTCTGCGAGCGGTGCAAGACGCACCAGGGCAGCGGGCGGATCGTGCTGTGCGATATCGACGACCGGGTCAAGATTGGGTGTACGCCGTGTAAGAATGACCAGGCGCTATGTCGGGTGTACGACGAGCAGAAGGTGAGCGGCGAGAAGCCGGACGTGGATCAGCCGGCGGAGGTGATGTGGAACCGGCCTATGCCCGGAGACGGCACCGTCCCCGCGGGTTGGCGGCCGTGGTGGCGGCAGATGTGTCAGGGGTGTCAGCCTGGCAAGACGAAGCCGTGTTCCTGGATCCGGGACTTCCGGCTGAGGGAGTACAAGTGCACGTCGTGCGTCGAGAAGAACATACCATGCGTGGACCCCTGGACGGCGGCCACATACGATACGCCGTACACGTGGGCCCCCGGGGACGGGGACAAGATTGTCTACGACAAGGGGACCAAGCTCCGAGATGGCAGGCACCGGTGCACCAACTGCGCGACGAACCAAGCCATGTGCCGGTCCCTCACCGACGAGGAAGACTTTGCGTGCGTGCGGTGTACCTCGTGGGGCCTGGTGTGCGAGACGCCCGGGAACGGGAGCCGGCACCCGTCGCGGCAACTGCCTTGGATCGATAAGAAGAGGATCGGGTGGTCTGGATGGACGAAGTGCACTGCCAACGGCAAGGGTATGAAGTTTCGCGGATGCCGGCGGTGTCGTGAGAAGGGGTATAGCTGCGATCGGAAGCGGCCGTGTGACAGGTGCGTCAACGACAGAGCGGAGGCGGACTGCGATTCGTGGGTGATGAACAAGGAATTGGTTAGACGCAACGGAACGGATGGCGTGGAGCAGCCGGAGTATTACATGGCTCTCGGGTACGGCCCCAAGGGTATTGACGATGATCGGACGTTGTGTTTAGAGCAGAATCTCCTCGGGCCAAATAGACCGAGGTACGCGGTTATGACGGACCCTGCAGCTGCTGTCGCTGCCGTTGCAGCTGCCGCCGTCGCTGCCGGTGCCAACCCGGCTAATGCTCCGGGTCCTGGTCCCCTCAAAGTTGGAAATGCTCCCATGGCGGCGCAACAGAACCCACGTCAGTTCGGAGGTGTCGTCGGCAACGGGCCCGGCGGCTGCGGCGTGGCCCCACTGCCGCGGCCCATGGCGGCGACCGGACAGCAAGGTTTCGCCGCACCGCCCGATCCAATGGCGTACCACGACCCGGGCTTCCCCTACCGCAACCAAGGCCACATCCGTGACCAACACAACAACATGATGTACGGCGACAACAACGCGGCCGTCGCGGCAAATCAGACGGGCGGAGGGTTCTCCGACTGGGTAAGCGGCTACAACGCAAGCGACAACCAAGCCGGCCCAAACCAAAACGCCCAACTACCTCTGTTCGAAGGCCAGGCGCAGAACCAGGGTGATGTCCAGTACATGATGGGCAATGGGTACGATATAAACCCCGAAAACCTGGTCCAAATGGCAGAGGCACAGCCGGTCCTCATTCACCCACAGCTCGAAGTCGACCCCCAACGCGAACAATCCGATCTCGCCCGCGGAATCTGTGACTTCATGGCCCAACTAGCCCGAGACGGCCGCTTCGTGCCCATCGAGCTCCGCAACTTCCAACCCCCCGAAGTAGCCGAAACCCCCGCCGCCGCCCGCATCGGCCCTCCCGCCCTCGTCATCCTCGAACTCACAGACCAAGACGCGGCCGAAACGCCCCGCGAGCCACCAGGACCGCCAACATGGAACCCGGGCCCCTACGAACCCCAACTCCGCGCCGCTCTCGCACGATGGAAACGCCCGGCCAAAGACGTCTTCCACGACATACCCGACGCCTCCCTCCTAAACGGCGCCCAACCAGACAACCAGCCCTGCGAGGAGGTCAAGCTCGGCGCACCGGGTAACATCTGCAACGCCCACGTCCCCGACGGCGCCCACTGCGAAAACCTAGAACACGCCGCCGCGCAGCCTAAACCGCACGTCGTCTGCGAGTGCTGCGACCTGACCTCCAAGAAGCACCTCTTCGAGGGCCCGCAACCCCTGACGCGCATGGAGTTCCTCAACATGCGCAACTACGCCTGCGGCGGCTGCTCCCACACGCGCCAGGCCGACGTGCGGTTCGGCGGCAGGATGCCCTACGGCCAGCTCGCGAACCCGCTGCACCCCGTGACTGGCTGCCTCTGCGCCAGGAAGCTGCTCGGCCGGCGGCTGTGCTCGCATCACCGGTACCAGCTCGCGCAGCGGCTCATGATTCAGGTGTCCATGGTGATCGAGTGGGCGATTACCAACTTTGGACCGGACATGTGTCTGTTTTGTAAGCAGGGTGGCCATCTCGCCAGGAGCATGGCGGAGTCGGAGAACGGGATAATGGATGATGTGTTGTACGTGTGCCTGAATTGTGAGGGCATCGTCTGCGTGAATGGCCCGAAGGAGCTCGTTCCGGGCGTCGAGGAGTGGATTGGCGGGTGTCATCCGGTTTCCCTCTACTCGGAGCCGTGGCTGCAGGCGCCTATGCAGGACATAGAATGGGACGCCTGATTAGGCGAATATGGCCCTGGATGTCTCATGGAAGAAAGCTGGGTACAGTGAAGGAGGAGTACTGGTTGGCGGGATCTTGCTCCGATTTGGCTTTGGATTCGGATAGAAATGCGGTTGGGTCGATACCACGGTAGCGGTGGAGCATACATGGCGCATTACAGGTGTTTCGTTTGATGTAGAGAAGAAGAAAATGTTCGGATTCTGACGTTTCCGCTCCGGGCCGTGAGATGTTGGCCGAGTGAACGTAGAGGCACACCGTTGAGACTTGAGGGATGGCTGCGATGTTTCTGAGCGACTCGCATCTGCATGTCTAAGGTGATGTAAGGTGATAGGAGCCATGGCCCATGGGGCAACAGGGCGGCTCAGGGCCTCGGGCTATGTATTCCGTGGTGGGTTGCAGTCGCGAGGGGGAACTTGTTGAGGGATGTCATAAGCAAGTTGCATATGCTCCGGGTT